TACTGCAGAGGGTTTGTTGTAAAAAATATGCCATATAGCAGTAATAGACGAGTTGTACTCATTACGTAGTACGTTAAAGCAAGCTTAACATTGAAAAGCCGGAAATCTGCCACCAGTGTGTAGTGTATGTTCGATGTTTTGGCTATAAAAGGAAGCCGAAGAGTCATAATCACGGAGTAAAAAGGTAATTAACTGTTGTTAAGCTGACTTTTTTATAGATCATATTTCGCCACTCTCAAATTTGTGTTTTTTTACGGTATGATGTCAACCGGTACCTAATATATTCACCCTTATGATGAAAAGTACCTGCAAATTTTCATCTTCATACTTTTGGACAACTGTCTTCCAGTTTGAGTGCTTCATACGCCCCGAGAAACTCTATTTCTACAACATTCGTAGTCCCAGTATAACTTTCACGCAGTAAGTTCAAATTAGACTCTAGTCTTTCTAAATAAGCCTGTTAAGCTAATATCCGTATTCTCTATTTCAGTTAATCGGTGAAGACATGTACCACGTTCATATGCTGTATACTTCCATTTTACTCTAATTCTAAATGTTATATCTTCTGAAAAGTAAAATTTCTATATGCATCAAATACAGACTTATTTGTTTTGATGGAGATAACGGGATTCATAAGATTTTTAGCAGGACCGTAGTAATATTCTCACTCAGAAGCTAAGCGAATGCGTAGACCAGCGTAAGGTACCATACGGGGTGCATTTGAGTTACTAGTGTTCCATTAGTGTAAGTAGAGGCATTGCTTGCTTATCATATGGCATTTGAATAAAAAGCTATGAGACTAGATGCAAGTACGATTAGGATGTGTAACGCGTATCCATCCGTCAGCTGCCGTGACAACTCGTGGTGGTTAGAATTAATTATGAGAGGACCCGAGTCTGTAGGTTTACCAAGAAAATGACGAAGATATTTACTAAGTCACTTAGATTTACTACACAAGAACTAGGTGCTGAGAGGCTCGTGTATCGCATGTTTCTTGCAACGATTAAGTGGATAAAACAAAGCAGCATTAGATTTAAAAATTTATTCAGGAACTTTCATTAAAAATCGAATATCAAACAAAGGTTTAGACCAAGTTCCCGTTTAAAAGTTGCATTGGTAATGTTAAGCTGCAACCTTAATTGTTTTTTTCCAAACGAAAGGGTAAAATAAGTAACTCAAAAAAATACTGGAAGTGGTTGTGAGTATAGGGTGGACGTTCAGCATCCCTTTTAAAATCTGCTGTTAGTTCGGTCTCCCGTAAACAGTTTCATAGGGCCAAAGTTCTAGTGGCGAAACAGATTTTAGGATCTGTGAAGGCTCACTCCTGTTGCATTCTAAATGATAAAATAGTAATGAATTTAGTCAGGAATGTGGACAAGATAAATAACCAAATTACATGCTTTTTAGCAAAGAATTTATGCAGTTGTGATTTATTTTGGGTTCATGAATATTAGATCAGGTCAGCCACTACTACTTGTGCAAAGCATAACATTGACTTAGTACCGTATCGCAATGGTTTTATTATTTTGCTCCCATTTAGGTATTCCCATGCATCTGCGTCTAGTTTAACAGGAAGACACACAAGCAGAGTTAGTGTCTGATAAACTAAAAGTTCCAGTTGTCAAAAAAATCCTTAACATTTGTCCACAACCAGCTGCACAGACACAGAACACTCATCTTCTAAGACTATATACTGCTGTTTTGCGGGCAACTAAAAGCTCAGACGCTTATCTGTCATGCTACCGATGTTATTGCTGCGGAAATTGTTTAATGACAATGATCTTGAAATATGGTCAGTGATAGATCTACAGTCTAGAAATAAAAAGCAAACATACTTAAAGCTATCAAATGTACTGTTGCTATACAGCAACAGTACCAAAGGCTTTTTTTTCATATTTTTAATCAGACTGACTCGAATCAGTATAATCATTAGAAACAGGCAGCTCTACTTACTAAACTGATATGTTTCGTAACAGGCTTCAAGCAATATACTTAAGTATAACATAGTTCTTTCGACTAAACTGAATTATATGACAACCAAGAATACTAAACTAAGCAACCCAAGCTGCCAGCTCTAGGGAAATTTTTGGGAAATCCCTAAAGTGAAAAACCTTCCCCAATGTTTGGGGAAATCCCCAAAATGTTCGTAGCGCATTTTTGCACACTAACATTTCATCTACATAATATAAATAAGCCTCACAGAAGTAAATTTGAATAACAAATTTACATTTTAACTCAATACAGACTTTTGGATGAGGGATAGTCTATCGAATTTCAGGTCTTGTTTTAATACATCAACAAACAGACAGTAGACAAAAAGTTGTCGGTTTTAAATCACTTTTTCAAAATTTGAAGGCAGCGCTCCAGGGGTATCGCGACACTTATTTGCGCTACTTTTTCATTTCTGCTTTGTGCACAACCAAATTTGGAAATACATTATGAATAAATTCGAAAGTCTATTTTCCGTTTTCATAATTAGGTAAAAAGGGGTTTTTCGATTTTGCGTTACATGGAATCGTGAAGTCCTTGAAAATTCATTATTCAGGTGCTGCTATAATAGTTTTTCGATGTTTGCATCGCAGATTAGCAATTATTTCTACTTAGGTATACACTGATGGTCGACAAATCTTTTATTTTTATATGAAATAGGAAGATTCAGGCATATATCGTCATAAAAATTGTATTGTCGTCAAGGCTACGAAAACTGCGTTACAACTAACGATACCATGGTAAGATTTATCGTTTTTCCTATCTTTATCACATTTTCTGCTGATTTTCACTGTTTTGTTCGACTTTTATGGCAGAAATAGGTTTATAGTGAAAACATAAGGTGTCCTGAGTGTTGTAAATATTATGTATATGCTATAGATGATAATAACACATATTAAGATGTTAATATCACCTTCTACAGTTAGATATATTAGCCACCAGATGATTGTATTGCAGGAAATAAATCATAATCATGCGGTAGAGGTATAATTATGTGGAGATTCTACCAAAGACGAAGCTAAGATAGCATTACTACCTCTTGTGTAGATGTACACAAGTAATTTGCTGTACCAAAGCATGTCATTGAGATATGGTTGTGACTTTTTTCTTTTTTTTAAATTCTGAATTCACGGGACGACTACCTCAATTCTCAATAGCCGTGCAATTGTTTTGATGTTCTACCTACATTTCAATAAATATTTTTCAAACAGCTTACTTTTTTACTTACATGGGAAACTGTCGAAGTGTTGAGAATGTGTGTTTGAGTGTCAGTGAACTTTTGAATAAATGCACATTCCTTATAAATAATACATCACGTGTTTCTTCTTTTGCAGATAATTTCAAATAACAATGAATTAGCAATTGCATTGGATATGCAAAACAATCGATGCTTAAGCTTCTGCTCTAGTGTTGTACAATAATACGCTTTACCTTTTAAATAAAATTTTTCAAAAACATGCCGGTCTTTCACTGTATTGCAGATTTATTTTGGTCTGTTGTTGAAAATAAAGGTGAACATAGTAGACCTTTGGGGTTATGTCAATGGATGGAAAACAGGGAGTTCTGTGTGTACTTTAGGCGAAAAGTAAACAATTCAGCAGACATTTAGGCGAAAAGCAAACAATTCTGCGGACAGTTAGGCGAAAATTCGGTAATTTGGGGGATATTTAGGCGAAAAGTGAGTAATTTATCCACATTATTTCCTCTGGATAGGCGAAAAATGCGACATTCTGTGTTTTCCCCTTTCGCTACCAAAGCATTTACCCCTTTATTTTCCCTTTTTGGGTTGTCTGGGGAGCTACAATGTTTTGGCTGCCGGTATTATTGCAAAAATACCTAATATCAGAAATAAGTACTGATATAAAGCTGTTACGAGAAAGCACTGAAAAGTACGATTCGATAGTCAAGATATCTTGATCTAAGGTGACCAGATTGTGTGAGATCCTATGTGATGATCTTCGGAAATCAACCAAGGCCTGTCTAGCTTACGTGCTGATGCCGTAAATGACAATTACTCATAACTTACGTGGGACTAGAATAGAATATGCATCAAGAATTTCAGGTTACACAGGACGATTGAAAGTAAATTCACACAGTAGTCTTTATATATGTTCATCGTCTAAGTTTCTGAAGTGCAACCTGCCCAAAGAATTAAATAATACAATCCGTGTATGTTGTGACCCAGACTTTCCTAAGCAACGCAAGAGATAAAGGAAATAAGCGTGATTGACTATCCAAAGGAAGGGTGTGCTAAATGCACTTTCGATCTGTAATTGGATACTGGTTTCCGTTTTTATACTAGTTTCTGGTAAACATTTATACTGAAATAACTTTCCTGTCTATCTTATTTCCAGCTAGCTTCGCAAGCGTTCACAGACCTAACGGGAACAATTCCTGAGAAGTAGAAGTTATTTATTAATGGATCATTTGTGCTAGATTCAAACTTTAATAAACGTTTACATTTATAACGCACCAGTCTCTTGATTACGGCAATTCTTATCTATCGTGACACGTCGAAATCCGAACTACTAGTATGGTACACCATGTTCAAGGTAGCAGTATTTGGTAAACGGTATGTATAACTAATCGCGTGTGCGCCAAACTGGTAATTATTACACAAGAACGCGAAACAACATCCCTGTCTCACAGCCACATAAGACTGCACAGTACACTCCCTGCCGTTACGCTATAAGAATAAGTCAATGGCCATATAAATGAATTTATGTAAAACTAAAAAGATTACAATATTAGAACTTCTTGTTAGCAAGAAGCATAGCTATGGTCTGCATTAACAATGGATTCTGACGTTGTAGCTTCATCATTAGCACCGACTGAACTCATCAACTGTGCACATATGTCTTCCGATGCTTCGAGGCATGAACGGATGAGTTTACTTGCCATAGGTTCACTAAGAGCATGGATTGAGTGGTAGTTGCTAGTGAACTTCTCTAGCAGATCATCACTCCCTGTAGAGATTGAGATGTTGTCCAGCACACGAAGAACCAGGTCCATTATGTATTTTCTTGTCCACCGGTTGCTATGTCGAAATAAGTCTACAAAACTTATAGAGATAAAGGAACACACATACCTCCGCGAATCAGATCTTTAGAATGTGCATACAAAATATGACCACAGGGCAGCATGTAGTCATTGAAACGCTCACAAGCACATCGTGCACGTGAAGTATCAACAACATACATCATACCCTTGTCGTAGCACCGGATGTATTCTCCTTCTATAAATTCGTGTCTCATTGTCCGAACACGTTTATAATTTACAGCTACAATTTTAGCTGCAAAAGATGTGAACTCATTTAGAAGAGTTCGAAATGACATTGGAACCTGGAATTAATGATACATTTAACTATATTTCTTACCTGAAGAATAGGAAAACGTTGAAGATCCTTCACAGCGTCATAAGGACGCAAACGTACATCAATGTCTGTTTTACTCCAAATTTTCCAGAACGTCAATAATAGGGAATCACCTCTTCTGAGACATTCTTTTAGGTGTTTATGAGCACTTTCAACACGGTTGTTTGTGTGGTTGCCCAGGCTTAATACATGTCGCCGGTAACAGCGAGCCCACATTGACTTCCTAGCAATCCAGTAATCTTTTATGTAATCATACGCCCGTGGAAAATGCGTTCTTAGATGTTCGTACTTTCGAGTAAATCTGAATATAATGCGCTATGAAAAGCGAAGCTCACATATCAGACCGTCTAGTCTTCACAAGCTGTTCCAAGCATTTGCGCACATCAGGATTTCGGAACTAAAGAAAATAATTTGTACAGTTAACACATACCTTCCTGAAAAACGCTCTTAGGACATGGAATGAACAAAGTATTATGTTAGAATGACTGTGCGTAGACTGCACAGCCGAAATTCCGGTCGCTGCCGAATCCTTAATGAACGTGCGTGTTGCATAAGTACCGCACATTATCTCTTTAAAACATTCCAATAGTTTTTCTATATCTTCGCGTCGTTCTTGACTGCAAAGAGCATACATAACAGTGTGCCCTTGCCCAAGACTATCAGTGACCACTAGCTGGAACAGTGGAAAGCTTTCAGATAAATTTATTACTAATCGTCACTTACCCGACTTTATTGGTCTGATAAGTCGAATCAATACATATTACTTCCGGGAACGCGTGGTAAACAGCTATTTGCTCTCTGCGGCTGGAGCAAATCATAGACATGTTCCCATTTTCATAGAATACTTTAACTTCAGTATTTCCTTGAATGCGCTGTAAAATGTTATTGATATTTTTAGTGTCTAAACTCAATTAATTACAATGTGAGTTCAACAACCTGGGTACAACTGTGAACGCATTCTGGCGATATCGTCCTTGGTAAGTTGTTTATTGAACTTCAAAGAAACCAGATACCGTAAGCTACGAGTTGGTGTATTACTCAGTAGAAACGTTCTTAAATACAAGCGTTCACTTGAGGTCAACTGTCGTTTCGATGGATCGACAGAAATATATCTTTCTGTGCAAGGATGGTTCTGCACGGTTTTAATAGAGGTGAGTTTCAACTCACCATTCAGTGCCCGGACCCAAAATCCTGATTTACAGTGGCAATATTTCGACCTGAAGGATAAATTCATTTGAAGTAAGGCATACGTAGATGACCGACGTCGTCTCCTTTGCCTAGGTTGTGTTGGCGAGTTAGAAGTTGTATGCTCTTCAGAAGAATGATTATTACTATCATCATCTACATCCTGAACGCAAGCATCTGACTCTGACGAACTGCGTTTACGTCCATATGTACAGACATATCGCACGAAAAAGTACTTTAGAGTTGGATCATCACTGCTCTTTTTGCATACTGACATAACGTACTTAGTATGCGTATACTAAGAAAATAATTATTAACCACAGAGGTCATATTACCTTATGTACTTCTTTCAAACAGGTCTCAAAATTGTCCCAACTTGTAAATCTTCGAGATAACATAATATCATTGAAGATTCGGCCTATATCATGCATCATCACGATGGAATCGTCTTCGTTACTTGAAGAATGAACGTTATCAGACATAGTGTAGCTGAACTCAATTCAAATCCAAAAATGTCTTGATTTGACCGCTTCTGAAAATTTTCACGAATTGTCGATGTGACGCACCAATCATTTTGCGACAGTTGGACCTTCAAGTGCTCGCAACCCCCATCAGTGGACGATACCCTAGGAGCGTTGCCAAATTTGAAAGCTATGCAGGTGAGTTGTTAGCAGTGCAGGTCGGGAAATTTGGTTGCTGTCTATGTTCAGTCTTACTTAAGTCAATTATTTCTTTCAGAATAATAATAGACAGCTCGATAAGATTGCGAAAAGGCGGGCAGCAGACACGAAATACCCTAGGTTGTTTGGCTGTTCCCGTTCAACCTATTACAGAAGGTTGAGGAAATTAAAAGCACAGTTTATAAAGAAGTGTTGGTTACCGAGCTGTGACGAAGAGACAGACAATCCAGTTGTCGTTACAGAATCGCGTACTACCGTAGCTACAGAGCAGTGGGCTAATATTGTCACAGATACAGCTACTGCTTCATGTAGTTACGTCCAGTGTTCAGACAACACAATCAGTGGTAGTATCTGTTTAATTATTAAAAATTTATAGGTTGTGTGATGTCAGAAATGTCTCCAGCCGTTCATCTTTCGATGAAAGAACAGTTAGACAGAATGGTCATTGAAACGATGAAAGGTGGTTATATAAGCATAAAGAAGGTTGACCAAATATTGGACATTTTTCGTGCGCGGTATCCAGAACTTCCAACGTCCGTCCGGGGTGTTCTACGTCGATGCAACGACGTGGAGCCTAAGATCCTAGATTCTGGAACGTATTGCCACTTGGGATTGGAATCAAGTCCTTTGAGAATTTCAGAACATTGGCTACGGCGAATCCGTTTCAACGAACTTCAGTTGCAGTTAGACTACGACGGTCTAAGTTTGTTCAAAAGCTCTAACCAACAGCTGTGGCCGATCCTAGGTCGCATAGTAGCTCCACTAGTTAGTAGTGTTTTCGTAGTTGGGATCTACGGTGGTGAAGTAAAACCATCTGATTTCAACGACATGTCAGCAACACTTACAACAGAGTTACAGGAGTTGCTGACAGTAGGTTTTAATGTAGATAAGTATCAGCTACATTTAACAGTTAAATTAGTTGCTGTTATTTGTGACGCTCCAGCTCGCAGCAACGTGAAGTACATTGTGGGACACAATGGTATCGCTGGCTGTGACAAATGTCAGGTTTTAGGGACGCGAATAGGTGGTCGAATGACTTTCTCCAATGGTGAACACGACTTAAGAAATGATGTCACTTTTCGTAGTAGGTCCCAATCTATCCATCATCGTGGTACAAGTTCATTTGAAAATCTGCCAGTGGATATGATTAAATGTTTCCCCTGTGAACCTATGCATATGATATACTTAGGTGTTACTAAAAAACTTATTTCATTATGGAAGGATCTAGCTATTAAGCAACTTAATGGAATGGATCAATCTATTATCGCATCAATAAATGATGCACTAGATTTTTGTCGACAGCACACTACATGCGACTTTCAACGGAAATGTCGTTCACTGTATGAAGTTTCTGTATGGAAAGCAACTGAATGTCGGTTGTTCTTATTATACTTAGGACCTGTAGTTCTTCATAATAGGTTACCACTATCAATGTACAGAAACTTCCAGTCACTCTCTTTGTCTATGTATTTATTATCGCACCCTAAGTTTCATAGCACATTCGCTAACAGTGTTCGGGTTTACATTAATAACTTTTTATTAGGTTGCGAAAGGTGTTACGGTACCGAACACTTAATCTACAATGTGCATAGTTTAAAGCACATTGCAGACGACGTTATGGAACATGGTACTTTAGAATCGTTCGCAGCATTTCCTTTTGATTCTTACATGAGAAAAATTAGGCGTTCAGTACACTGTGGATTTGCTGCGGCTAAACAAGCCGCACAGCGATATGCCGAAGAAGTTTACTTTCAAAGTATACTGAATCAGGATATGGCTGACCATGTCACTGAGCCTGAGGTAACTGATGATTCTTCCAAGCAAATAGTCAGTTACAGGAACTCAAAGCTATCTACTGCAAGGCCGGACAATGTAGTTATTGCCAAAGGTAGACCAGGGTTCGTAACAGAAATACGTGATGGAGGCCTTATTAGGTTCCGGCCATTTCATAATCCTTCCGATTTATATACCAACCCTTTTCCCTCCAGTAATATTGCTATGTTTAAGTGTTCTACCTTAAGCCACGAATGCACGTAGATAACACTAACAGGCATACTTTGTAAGTGCATGTGTTTGCGCACACAACATTATGAGGTCATTATCCCTCTTTTGCATACATTCTAGTAGCAGATGTGACATCATTTCTCAAGGACTGTTGCAAATATGGCACTTTAGCCAGTAAGAGTCTGTTGGTTAGTGATTTTACGTCCTCCATCAGGAAGTGTTAGTGAATTTTCATCAATGCAATAAATTTACAATTTTTCACGCCTGCGCATTCATTCACAGCATCGAAGTGGAAAGTACATCTTAGTTGACGATAAGGGGAACAAGCAAGCGGTCTGCATTCCTAACAAATGGCTCCTGAACAACGACCATTACGTTTATCGGGATGATGTTAGTGAGCAGGACATTATTGAGGGTGTCGATTTTGGTAGTCGATTCTGCTTCAGAAAATGCATCGTTGTGGTAAGCTGTAATTAATTTAAATTTATTGCTTTTAGACAACAACAGTATTGCCCAGCAAACCAAAGTGTGTTTAACAACAGCATTGGGCTACAATAATAATAACCTTAGTAGAAACGATGAAACAGCCCTGTGAAGCTGAAAAGCCAAAAAGGTAAATTGTTCAACTTATTATATCATTTGTGTTAGAACTGTCAAACGAAAGCACAAGGATTATCTATGCACCTCTGAAGAACTCGAGGTTGCTGAGTTTGAGGCTGGATTTGCCCCGGTGGACTTTCCAGTTGTCAACATTTTGACAGGAAACTTTTCTCCCATTGCGAGGTTTGTACCTACTTATCAATTGTCATATAGTAGTTCATCAAAAGCTGACCTTTCATCACCACCAATTCCACGTACGTCGACGGAAGGTGATAAACCGTAAGTTACATTTACTTTATTCCTGATAACAAAAGTTTGAGCGATGATACCCATCACATGTTCTGAAATATCCTAAAAGCGGTCACTGAACTATCTAGCAAGATGGATAGACTGATCGCTGTATGTGAACATGTCTGAAAGGAGGTATTTCAGACAGGCTTTTGCTGATTTCCGAAGATCTTCACATAGTAGATGGTTTAATCTTCCCATATAAAATTTCTTCAAACACCCAAAATTTTTGGTTCTCTAAAGCTGCCTCTGAAGAACGCAACTCGTCATGCGTTCGTAATCGGAAAGTGATTGCATCACTATCATTATCTTCCATACGCCTTTCACTTACACCCATGGCTAAGCATCCACTAAGATGTACTTTCCACTTCGATGCTGTGAATGAATGCGCAGGCGTGAAAAATTGTAAATTTATTGCATTGATGAAAATTCACTAACACTTCCTGATGGAGGACGTAAAATCACTAACCAACAGACTCTTACTGGCTAAAGTGCCATATTTGCAACAGTCCTTGAGAAATGATGTCACATCTGCTACTAGAATGTATGCAAAAGAGGGATAATGACCTCATAATGTTGTGTGCGCAAACACATGCACTTACAAAGTATGCCTGTTAGTGTTATCTACGTGCATTCGTGGCTTAAGGTAGAACACTTAAACATAGCAATATTACTGGAGGGAAAAGGGTTGGTATATAAATCGGAAGGATTATGAAATGGCCGGAACCTAATAAGGCCTCCATCACGTATTTCTGTTACGAACCCTGGTCTACCTTTGGCAATAACTACATTGTCCGGCCTTGCAGTAGATAGCTTTGAGTTCCTGTAACTGACTATTTGCTTGGAAGAATCATCAGTTACCTCAGGCTCAGTGACATGGTCAGCCATATCCTGATTCAGTATACTTTGAAAGTAAACTTCTTCGGCATATCGCTGTGCGGCTTGTTTAGCCGCAGCAAATCCACAGTGTACTGAACGCCTAATTTTTCTCATGTAAGAATCAAAAGGAAATGCTGCGAACGATTCTAAAGTACCATGTTCCATAACGTCGTCTGCAATGTGCTTTAAACTATGCACATTGTAGATTAAGTGTTCGGTACCGTAACACCTTTCGCAACCTAATAAAAAGTTATTAATGTAAACCCGAACACTGTTAGCGAATGTGCTATGAAACTTAGGGTGCGATAATAAATACATAGACAAAGAGAGTGACTGGAAGTTTCTGTACATTGATAGTGGTAACCTATTATGAAGAACTACAGGTCCTAAGTATAATAAGAACAACCGACATTCAGTTGCTTTCCATACAGAAACTTCATACAGTGAACGACATTTCCGTTGAAAGTCGCATGTAGTGTGCTGTCGACAAAAATCTAGTGCATCATTTATTGATGCGATAATAGATTGATCCATTCCATTAAGTTGCTTAATAGCTAGATCCTTCCATAATGAAATAAGTTTTTTAGTAACACCTAAGTATATCATATGCATAGGTTCACAGGGGAAACATTTAATCATATCCACTGGCAGATTTTCAAATGAACTTGTACCACGATGATGGATAGATTGGGACCTACTACGAAAAGTGACATCATTTCTTAAGTCGTGTTCACCATTGGAGAAAGTCATTCGACCACCTATTCGCGTCCCTAAAACCTGACATTTGTCACAGCCAGCGATACCATTGTGTCCCACAATGTACTTCACGTTGCTGCGAGCTGGAGCGTCACAAATAACAGCAACTAATTTAACTGTTAAATGTAGCTGATACTTATCTACATTAAAACCTACTGTCAGCAACTCCTGTAACTCTGTTGTAAGTGTTGCTGACATGTCGTTGAAATCAGATGGTTTTACTTCACCACCGTAGATCCCAACTACGAAAACACTACTAACTAGTGGAGCTACTATGCGACCTAGGATCGGCCACAGCTGTTGGTTAGAGCTTTTGAACAAACTTAGACCGTCGTAGTCTAACTGCAACTGAAGTTCGTTGAAACGGATTCGCCGTAGCCAATGTTCTGAAATTCTCAAAGGACTTGATTCCAATCCCAAGTGGCAATACGTTCCAGAATCTAGGATCTTAGGCTCCACGTCGTTGCATCGACGTAGAACACCCCGGACGGACGTTGGAAGTTCTGGATACCGCGCACGAAAAATGTCCAATATTTGGTCAACCTTCTTTATGCTTATATAACCACCTTTCATCGTTTCAATGACCATTCTGTCTAACTGTTCTTTCATCGAAAGATGAACGGCTGGAGACATTTCTGACATCACACAACCTATAAATTTTTAATAATTAAACAGATACTACCACTGATTGTGTTGTCTGAACACTGGACGTAACTACATGAAGCAGTAGCTGTATCTGTGACAATATTAGCCCACTGCTCTGTAGCTACGGTAGTACGCGATTCTGTAACGACAACTGGATTGTCTGTCTCTTCGTCACAGCTCGGTAACCAACACTTCTTTATAAACTGTGCTTTTAATTTCCTCAACCTTCTGTAATAGGTTGAACGGGAACAGCCAAACAACCTAGGGTATTTCGTGTCTGCTGCCCGCCTTTTCGCAATCTTATCGAGCTGTCTATTATTATTCTGAAAGAAATAATTGACTTAAGTAAGACTGAACATAGACAGCAACCAAATTTCCCGACCTGCACTGCTAACAACTCACCTGCATAGCTTTCAAATTTTGAAAAAGCGATTTAAAACCGACAACTTTTTGTCTACTGTCTGTTTGTTGATGTATTAAAACAAGACCTGAAATTCGATAGACTATCCCTCATCCAAAAGTCTGTATTGATTTAAAATGTAAATTTGTTATTCAAATTTACTTCTGTGAGGCTTATTTATATTATGTAGATGAAATGTTAGTGTGCAAAAATGCGCTACGAACATTTTGGGGATTTCCCCAAACATTGGGGAAGGTTTTTCACTTTAGGGATTTCCCAAAAATTTCCCTAGAGCTGGCAGCTTGGGTTGCTTAGTTTAGTATTCTTGGTTGTCATATAATTCAGTTTAGTCGAAAGAACTATGTTATACTTAAGTATATTGCTTGAAGCCTGTTACGAAACATATCAGTTTAGTAAGTAGAGCTGCCTGTTTCTAATGATTATACTGATTCGAGTCAGTCTGATTAAAAATATGAAAAAAAAGCCTTTGGTACTGTTGCTGTATAGCAACAGTACATTTGATAGCTTTAAGTATGTTTGCTTTTTATTTCTAGACTGTAGATCTATCACTGACCATATTTCAAGATCATTGTCATTAAACAATTTCCGCAGCAATAACATCGGTAGCATGACAGATAAGCGTCTGAGCTTTTAGTTGCCCGCAAAACAGCAGTATATAGTCTTAGAAGATGAGTGTTCTGTGTCTGTGCAGCTGGTTGTGGACAAATGTTAAGGATTTTTTTGACAACTGGAACTTTTAGTTTATCAGACACTAACTCTGCTTGTGTGTCTTCCTGTTAAACTAGACGCAGATGCATGGGAATACCTAAATGGGAGCAAAATAATAAAACCATTGCGATACGGTACTAAGTCAATGTTATGCTTTGCACAAGTAGTAGTGGCTGACCTGATCTAATATTCATGAACCCAAAATAAATCACAACTGCATAAATTCTTTGCTAAAAAGCATGTAATTTGGTTATTTATCTTGTCCACATTCCTGACTAAATTCATTACTATTTTATCATTTAGAATGCAACAGGAGTGAGCCTTCACAGATCCTAAAATCTGTTTCGCCACTAGATTTCCTCAAAGGTGGCAGCTTGGGTAACAGAAGACAAATAATATATATATAGCTTTGAGACTGAAGACAACAGTCAGTTTTTCATAAAAACATAGTTTACAGTACAACAAAACGTTTTTCAGTAACATTATGCACTGAAGGTCTATCTTGAAAGGCACGGACTGGCGGGTAAGCCACGGATTTTCGCGCACACGTTACATATTGTCGTGGATTTCTTGTGTCGTTATTTATCAGCTATTAACAGGTTTTTTTGCATGACACATCAATTTCTGTATTGCTAGTGCTTGTAACATAGTTTTTATTCCAATTTATTGGCAGTTTGACGTATTTCTTGCTCACCACGTAAGTAAATCTGAAGTTAGCTTAATATAGTTATTTGTAACAATACAAACTCAAGCAAGTAAAGTTCACCGTGTTTCTAGTCAAAAAATATACCACAGATTGAGTTTTCATGAAAATGAACCGTAAAATCTTTTACATATAGTTCACCTCCTTGATTGCGGTGACGGTGAACATGGATGTCGGTAGTTGTTTATAAAATGTAAGTAGAAGCAATCAAGCGTTAACCTAATTGTGAATATTATATAACTTGTTTGTATTTAGCCATAAAAAGTTATATTTATTAGAGGTACCATTGTTTTGTACTGAAGTGACATAATTATGTAACGTATCTGAGAAAAGAAATATGTGAGTAACAATTGACGTTTATAGTGTTGTCCAGCGGCTTTCTGAACGTCTGCAGTAATAGTGTATAACACCACATCAAGTAAGAACAAAATCTTCATGAATAAAACGATCGGTGTTTCTTGTGAGAATGGTGACACAACCATGTTTTTTAGTTAATACTGATTTGTGACGTGTCTGTTATAGGGTTCACAAATGAGTTATTATATACTCTTCACTCCGTCTCGGTAATACAGTTGTTGTGTTACTTAGGAAGTTATGAATGAATGTCACTACTTGTTAATAAAAGACTTATAGGCACAGTCTGTTACTTGCTATTTGAATAACTTATTGAATATGATACTGAGAACAAAGTTTAATTGTTTGTCTCAAAACGGATTTGTTGTTTTTCAGAATAGTATGAAGCTTATGGAATTTAGGATTACGGAAGATCGTGTGGAAAACCGGTTTGCAAGTTTACGATAACTGTTTTATATTGCCTACTGCTATGCTCATTCATCTAATGAATTATTTAAATATAAATATAACAACCATACGCAGTGTTTTATATTATAAATCCTGTAAGTTTGTATAATTATGGTCTAAATAAAGCCAAAACAAATATTGACGCAGAATCATGTGACTGCATTACATTTCGTGGTTTCTCATAAGTTGCATACAACTGAATATACATTATAATTTAAGATTGAGGGAAGAAATAGTATGAAGGGTAATAGAAAGCAAAAAATTGGAATGACCTAGGTTATCAATAATAACTATACATATGTATATGCTTGAACAGGTCAAAGGTCATTTGGTGTTAGACTTAAGGGAACATAAAGGATGGGTGGTGTAATAGTCGAGTGAAGCTCAGAAGCATATAAGATAAATTGTGTGATAATTCTAGATGTAATGAATAAATCAGTGAATTAAGAACCAATAAGATAAGTGAAGACAATCTGAAGAGTTAACATAATTTAGCAAAGAAGTGTGAGTGGAAGGGTGGTCTAAGGGTTACGTAATCCATCTTATCAAGGAACTAGCTGCATGAAATTGTCTAGTTCCATACTAACACTAACTTGATAATGGACGTAATCTGACAACGGAAAATATGTAAGGCGGTTGTTTAATCTGTAAGGTTTTACGTGGAAGTCGCATTATTGTTTTATTTAACTCGTTGATTCCTCACAATGAACAACGATATAACGCTAAGTTCTAACGACAGTTCGTAACTAATACAGTAGTACAAATTCTTAATTTTCACACACAATTATTCGTTAAAGCGATTGGTAAACCTCCCCATGAAAGTATGAAGAAGACGAAAATAAAAAATGAGAAAAAGTTTATTGATTTTTCATGACTACTAAAGTGGAAAGATAAGTTTACAAGTTGTATAAATAGTGGTCTAAAATAAAGCCACAAAGAACTGTTAATCGTAAACCTGCTGTCTAGCTGTTTATAATTCTTAAGTAAAAATTGTAGACTTTTCTCTCCACCTGATTCGCGAAGCGTTCACCATATTTCTCAACAATTTGTTGTTTGCACATTCTTTGGAGCCGTTGAAGTTGTATGTATTCTTTACTCCGTCTCGGTAATGAAATTCCTGTGTTGTCTTGTAAATTGTGCGTATTGTCTAATTTCCATCTGCAGCAACACCTAAGAAGTTGATGAGCTATGCAGTTTATATTTTATAATTTAAATAGCTTACCTGTTAGATTTCGTCTTTTAATATATGCCAGCAGGAGATGGCGGCACGAATATCGATACATATTAAACGTGCTACAATTGCATTCACAAATACTTACATCCACTTCGTAATGAAAGGCGCACAAAATAATGTTTGCATGCCCGTGCGTTATACGGACAGCCGCGCTTTCAGATCGTGCGCAATCCATCACAAATGTTTCTGTTTTGGTCGTGTTACCCATTATCTCCTTAAATTTATCCAAAATCCACGTAACATCGGCACGCTTTTCTTTTTGTGTCCATGCAAACATGACAGTTCGACCTCGACCCCAATTGTCTGTCACCACTAACTGGAATAATGAATATCTACATAGTAGAACAAAACGAAAATCATATTCACTTTTTATTATTAGTTTTATAAGTAGAATCAATACACACGACTTAGGGATATTGATTGTACAGCCGTATCTGATCATAACTGCTGAAGCATATCGCCGTAATACATCCATTTTCTGCATGCTCTCTAACTTCACCGTTTTGTCGCATCATCTGCAATACCTGCTTCCGAGTCCAACCTGAAATATATTTATATACACTTACCAGTGGAGAGTTCAGCTTTCATATTTTTGACATCAGCAGCGGTCACCTGCTTACCTGTTCTTTCCTTAATACTTTCGATAACTTCGTCCGTCGACTGACAGTGCAATATAACTGGTTTCAAGTTTTCTTTTTCTTCTGATGACAATCGTCTACTCAACGGATCACAAACCATCCACGAACTAGTACACGGATGGTTGTGAGACATGTTGTAAGATTTTATAACGTATTGTTGACCCTCCAATCTTACGCGAAACATCGATTGGCAATTTAAAAATTTAGACCTTAAATGTAACACATTAGTTAGAGTCCTCACGGTTTTTTATTCACACTCAGACCTTCTGATTTACGTTTACGACCAAACGTGCAACGAAACACTACGAACAAGTATTTATATCTCACATCCTTCAACAATCTACTTTCTGCGTGAACATAGTGTGTATGGGTCATCTGAGAAAACATAGATTTATCCTATCATACTTTATGGAAATCCTTTAGCGCATTATCTAATTCAATCCAGCTTCCGAATCTCTTGTTCAGCATAATACGTTGGAACGCGTCGCTTACGTTCACTGAAATTTCACTTGAGCATGAAGCACTAGAGACAACATACAATAGTTATTAAAAAAAGGTTATTCCTTGAAAAAAATTAACTGAAGGAAGAACAACAATTTTTAGGACTTACCCTTCAGTTGACATTTCGTCTTAACTCACAAAAACTAGGCGCATCTATAACCTTTTACGTTATTTTATCTTTCTTACGTTGTTTTCTGGACCTTATCAACAAATTATATATAGCTGTTGACTTTCACTACAGCAGTTAGGACCACAGATCAAGTTTCGAAGGAACAACAGAGCTAAAGTGTGCACTACAAAACAGAAAATACTCAGTTAATGCTCTTAGCAGTTATTTAGTGTTTATTATGCATCAAAATATGACTTATATATGGAAACATTTAATACTCATAGGACCCAACA